CCTGCCCCCTCCCTCCTGCCCAGTCCCCCCACCCCAAGACCACTTCCCGGCAACCCCCTCCCACACACTGAACCCCTCGTTTTTGGCCCCACCCCAGAAACTGGGGGCCCCATAAAATCTACTAGCCGAGTAGACCCCCCCAGTTTCTGCTGTGCAAGGGGAATGGGAGGAGGATCTTTCTCCTCAGTTGGGGTTTTTTTCTTCTCACTTGTGTGCGGCCCCCGACTGAGTTCTCCGAGGCTTCGTCTACACTACCTGTTTCTGCGACAGAAAATATGCTAATGATGTCTCAACTTATGCGGAGTCCCTCATTAGCATATTTTCTGCTGCAAAAACGTGTAGTGTAGACATACTCCCGCCCAAAAAAGGTTCCCCGCCCGTAAGGCAATGGGCCCACATTCAGGACTCATCCTCCGCCCAGTGTGCACGAGACACCGGCCATTCATGTCATCTCGCTCTGCATCAGGTCCCTTGTGCCGAAAACGGAGCGTGTGCTTTGCTGGGTCAGAGCCTCGGCAGAACCACGCGTATTGCCGCCGCAGAGCGTCGAATAGCGGCAAGGGTTGGCGCGCAATATTGGCTCTCCAGGACCGGCTGTTTTCATAACCCCGAAGAGCCATTTTTGAATGATCTAATCAATTAGCGAGACGATTAAGCTAGGTTTAAATTAAAATCACATCCAGCCTAAATACCTCCATTGGGCGGCGTGTCCTACAGCTGGCACCTGAATATTTAACACAGCGCAGCGTCCTCACAGCACACAATCTCCATGCGCTTCCCCCCTCCCCCTCTCTGCAATAAATATGCAATGCAGCCGGCGCTGGAAATGGAATTTGGGCGTGAAATTAATTGCCACAGATTGCATCTGAGTCAGCCACCTGCTGCTCGCCTCCTACCTGAAACAGGAGATAAGCAAAGCTGCTCTGCTTTCTGACGCGGCATTTGGCAGGGTGCACCAGGAACGCGCCGCTCCTCGGAAACACGACACGACCGCTAATCCGGAACAAAACTCCAGCCGCGTTCAGATCAGCGGGGAGCTGGCAGCCCACGGACGCGGGAAGGGCGTGGTACAGCTGGGTCAGGAAGGGCCGTCTGACTTGAAGTCATGCTGGGGCAGATTCGGGAGTGGGGAAGAAAGATATTTACTATACATTGAAGAGGCATCTCGGTGAAAGAATAGGCCAGAGTCAGCCGTGATGTCAACGCGGACAATCGCTTGCTTCATTCAACTCAACTGGAACTCTATGGATCCAACTGGAACTTAGGGGAAGTGGATTCATTCCTGGCTTTACCACTGGCATGCTGGATGACCGGGCCTCAGTTTCCCCCAGGCTACGTCTAGACTGGCATGATTCTCCGGAAATGCTTTTAACGGAAAAGTTTTCCGTTAAAAGCATTTGCGGAAAAGAGCGTCTAGATTGGCATGGATGCTTTTCCGCCAAAGCACTTTTTGCGGAAAAGCGTCCGTGCCAATCTCGACGCGCTTTTCCACAAAAAAGCCCCGATCGCCATTTTCACAATCGGGGCTTTTTTGCGCAAAACAAATCTGAGCTGTCTACACTGGCCCTTTTGCGCAAAAGTTTTGCACAAAAGGGACTTTTGCCTGAATGGGAGCAGCAATGCTGCTACGCCGATGATTTTCAGGAATAATGGCATTGCACGAGAGGGGTTTTCCAGCACAAGAAGGGGCCGTGTAGACAGCTCCTTCTGGCGCAAGAGCCTCTTCTGCAAAAATGGCGGCTCATTAGTTTTGCAAATGAGGCTCGGCGATATTCCACACTTAGCCTCATTTGCATATTTCTGGCACTAGAGGGCTAATACTAATCTCACGCCCCTCCCTCGGCCCCTAGAGTATCCTTTGAGCTAGGGGAGGGTGTGCTGTGCTGGTTTTATTACTTCGACAGGCTGGACTGGTTGTTGTTTGGGGACTGGTCGCTCGGGTCTGGTTTGCTCAGAGGTGAGTAAGCAGGTGCACTGTAGTGCGTAGCTCCAGCAAAAGCCAGCAGGGAGCTACTGAAAGAGCTGGCAGGGACCCGGGTTGCAACAGGACAGGGACCTGGATGAAATTTTAAGTGGCTTTCACTGCTGGATCTGCTCTAGGATGGGTTTGCTGGTAGCTCTGTGCTGCTGGTATCGGACTGCAGCCCTCCTACCAGAGGCAAGAGCTGTGCAGCCCATGAAGCTTTTCCAGCTATTTATTCCCTGGCCTCGATGGGCACGAAAAGGATGAAATCTCCAAAGTGTTTGCAAACCAAAAATCTCCCCGCCCCCAAACTTCACTGCCGGTGGGTCAAACAGCGGGTGCTTTCATTCTGTTTTCATTTTCCGTTTCAACATGCAAAGCTCTTTTGAAACACGCGCTGAGGTGTTTCTTGGTTCAGAAAGGCTGGAAACGTCTTGACAATTTCCAGACTTTTCTTCCAATAAAGGTTCAAGTTTTGTTTTTGACAAAGTGGCACTTTTCCACTGAAAAACCTCAGGTGGCTGAAAAATTCCCCACTTGCTCTGAGGAAGCAGCGTATGCTGACGAGCAGTTTCGGTGTGTCAGGCAATGTGCATTTCACAAAGCCACACTGGGTCAGACCCAAAGTCCTCCCAGCCCAGCATCCTGTCCATCGACAGTGACCAATGTCAGGTGCCCCAGAGGGAGGGAACAGAACAGATAATCATCACGTGATCCCTCTCCTGTCATCCACTTCCAGACAAACAGAGGCTAGGAACACCATTCCTACCCATCCTGGCTAATAGCCATTGATGGACCTAACCTCCATGAATTTATCTAGCTCTTTTTTGAACCCTGTTAAAATTCTAAACTTCACCATATCCTCTGGCAAGGAGTTCCACAGGTTGACTGTGCACTAGGGAAGAAAAACTTCCCTTTGTTTGTTTTAAACCTGCTGCCTACTAATTTCAGTTGGTGACTCCTAGTTCTTATATTGTTCTCTCAACAAGTTTGGTCTCTTTTTTTTTGCTCAACCAATTTCATCCCTCCCACCATGTTCGGGATTTTTTGTGAAAGTATCTGGCAACCCAGCCTTGCCATCTTGGGTCAACTTGCAGCTTACATCCAGGACCAAGCCTGCCTGGGACCTGCGGCAGCCCAGAGTGGCATCTGCTCAATGTTCCTTCCTGGGTGTGACTGAGCCAGGGCTACCCCGGGGCAAGGAGCTGGGCCAGGGCCTTGCCTCGCTTTCAGACTGATGATCTCGTCTTTCGACCGCAGGGGGCGGTGAGGAGAGCGGCCGGTGCACACAGAGGCACAAAGATCCAGCTGCGATCTCCTTGTGCTAAAGCGTTCACTTTCCTCTCCACTGCCCAGAAGCAAGCGCGGCTTTCCTGGTTCCCTCACCACAGGGCACTGCGGCAGCTCTTTCACAGCCCGCGTGGATCGTGCCACACACACACACAGGGTGCCCGGCCTGGCTCTTGCCCGGAATGTCAGCTCCTCTCACGAGAGCCCGTGTCCCAGAGCAGAACTCCCTGGTGCTATTTCACAACACTGCGAGCGAGTCTACACTTGCCCCCTCTTTCGAGAGAGGGATGCAAATGAAGACATTTGAAATTGCAAATGAAGCCTGGATTTAAATATCCTGCACTTCATTTGCATAATCACGTTATGGCGCTATTTCGGAATAACAGACGCTGTTAAGACGCGTCCTCCGAAGAGCCAGAGCCAGCAGCAGCACTAGCATTTAGAGGGGAGTCAACTGCAACAATCCTCATCAGTTTGAACCCCGCCCTCATCTAAATCGCGTCAGGCCCGTCTACACTTGCAAAGCCCCGAGTTAGGGTGGAAAGCACAGTAACGACTTGCAAATAGCTCCCTTCGGGGCCTTTTCGTAGGGCTGTGAGCGTGGCCACACATGGCAGGAATCGGGAACAATTCCATGCAGACAAGCCCTTGCGCTGGGACTAGTCCACACACGCACGTTGGACCACGAATGCTACGGGGGCGTTAACACGGCCCCACAGGCAGGGCTGCGGTTATAGCAAGACAGTCGGAGCGGTCCAAGCTGTATCCCACGGGAAGGGGGAATACGTTCTACTGGGGGAAAGGTGCCTTGCCCCAGTGGAACCGCATCCGCACTAGGGGCGGTCCTGTCAAACAAACTCCCCGCCCCAAGAGACGAGGTTAGTCCAGTCCACAGAGCTGGGTGGAGCAGGCTGGCCCACTGGGAAACGCAGTCCCAAGCCCGCAAGTTCTAGCACGGGAAGGGACACCGACGTCACAGCTGGCGCTCGATGCCTGAAAGGCCCTCCCATTGAAAGCGGTAACCTCTTCCGGGCCCCAGGATCCACCATAGAAACGGCCAATAGATAGCAGGAGTGATGTGGAAAATCTGTTCTGCATTTGGATGGTGCCTGGCACAACGGGGGGGGGGGCACAGGACCTGGGGCCACCCCACCCCAGTGCCCCAGGCATAGAGCGCGGGATAACCTTCCCACTGCAGGCCCCTCCCATGCCCCCAAGCCCCCCCCCGGCCTCCCCTGAGCCACAAGAGCCGGGGCATTACCAGGAGCGCGGTGCAGGTCAGCCGCAGGGGACACCCCCCACACACACACACTGCAGCAGCGGGAGCCAAGGTGACCTCTGCAGTGGCCGGAAGCGGAGTGCCCTGGGCTGGGATGCTCGGCTCCCGCTGCTGCAGTGAAGTTGAGCACAGCAGGATGGAAGCGGGCGGGGGCTGCGGAGCAGGCTGCTGGGTCACGCCAGCTCCTGCCACCGCAGGGGGGGAGGGAGGGAGGGAGAAAGGGGGAGCAGTCCTTGCTGTCACCCTGCACTAGGCCCCAGGTAACCCCCGGGCTCTGCCCATAGGATGGTTGAGGTGGCCACTGAAGAGCCCCCCAAAGCGCAGGACTTGGGGCAACTGCCCCGAACTGCCCTACGGCTGGGGCAACGCTGAGGATAATGTACATGGTATTTTATTACAGTGATCTAAGTCTAACCTGCTCACTGCCCCTCAAAACCCTTCGTGATTTTGGCCCCTGCAAATAAAAAAACCCTCAAAATATAAATTGGCAAGAAAAGGGGAGCTAATTATCCTGTGCCCCTAACCTCGCACGGCCCGTTTCCACGCCGCGCAGGAAACACGCGCTGGCTGGCACTCGAATGTCACGGGACAAGTCACAAAAGGACGGGGCCTGCCACGAGTGATAGGGCGCCTGGCCAGTTCCGAGAAACGCTTCCTCTTTGGCAAGGGAGTCAGGTTTGAAACCCCAGCAGCAGGGCCAGGAATGGGAACAGCTGTTAACACACCTGCTGCAACACCTGCCTGCCCCTCCTTGCGGCGGTGGAGATTAAGGCTTCTACGCGGTAAGACGTCACTAAGTTACTGCTGGGAAACAAGGACTCCAGCCCCACGAGGCTGGCGGAGGAGGAATAAACCACGTGCAGATGCCTGACAACAAGCACAGCATCTTCCGGGGGGCGGAGGGGGGGCGGGCACGGCGTGGGGACCAAACCGGAGACGGGAGCAGCCCTAGATGTTTTGCTCGCTTGGACAGAAAATGGTTTTGGTGCCTGGCAGGGGATAAAGGAAAAAGGTGGCCAGTCAGAGCAGAGCTGTACAGCAGGGCAACGCTCCCAAAGCAGATGCCGAGGGAACCGCCCCTGTGACCCTGGCCCGACGTGGGGGGCAGAGGCCGTCTGCTCTCCTGCAAGACCGTTACTGGCCAGGGCTGCAAATTACACCGTGCTTCCTTGTGGGTTGTATGCCCCCTGGTGGCAACGTAACGCAAGGGACGTGTTTGGCAGGGCTGCCTAAATTGGTTTGTGGACTGGAGATTGAAATCAAAGCGGCCGACAGCGGGGCTTCCGCCGCAGGTATTCCCCGCCTGATTCCACCTGGCTCCCGCGCCTGCAGGCGCCTCATGTCGGTCACCCAGCGGGGAGAGGAAATGGAAGGGGTTTATCCTTCCCAGCGGAGGATACACATGGGTCCCTGCAAGAGGGATGGATTGATTGCTCCCGATGACTCATTCCTGGCTTCTCAGTCTCCCCACGCTCGGGCAAAGAAGCGTCCCCCCGGCGTCACAGCATGCGAGAGGCAACCATGGTGAGGAAGTCTTCGTAGCTGAGCCGCACGCTGCCTGCCCGGCCGGCGTCCTTCTCCTGGAAAGCTTCCGTCAGGCTCTGGAGCTGCATGCAGAGCTGAATGAAGCTGTCCAGCTGGATGGTGGAGCTGGAAGCTCGCTGGGCGTAACGGGAGAGCAGCAGCTGGATGAACTGGGGGCTCAGGTTGTACCCCATCTGGGACAGAGCTGGCGGTAGAGAAACAAAAGGGAACGTAAACGTCTGGGATAAAAGCCGCCCCGCCCGGGAAGATCGGCCCGCCCCTCTGGGGATGCTATTGCAAAGCACAGCACAAGCCGGGACAGAACTGCGGGCGGTGCTTTGTGAGTGCTGGGAACGGAAATCGAGGTGCAAGATCCAGATCCTCCCCCAAAGACCCGCACCCCTCAGCTGTGCAAGCAGCCTCTTGCAACGCGCCATGTGGGCACGTCAGCGTTATTTGGAGGAGGCAGAAATGGGCAGAGGGTTTCCTGGGAAACGAGACGCTACTTTGCTCTCTGACCCCTCTGCCATTTGGACCAATGCACCCTCACCCCAACAGGCCAAAGTCACAGCAAAGGTAGCTGGCTGCACAGAACGGGGAAGGGAACCAAGCCAGCAACACCCCACCTTTGCTTTGAACTGGACCGACTGAAGCCGCTGTCGTATGGGTTCGGACCAATGCTCCTAATCTTTTCCATCCGTGCGCTGAATAAATTTGTGATGTGCCCTGAGGCATGTGCAAGTGTGCACCACCAGCAGAAACAACACACCTAGCAGTGGGCGCTCAGCTAATCAGCTGGGCAGCATTGGACTCTCTCCTGAGCGGCTGCACAAGCGCCCGGCTTACAGGAAGGCTGGTTTGGACCCCGCTCCCTGACCAGACACCATACGGTTTCAGAGAGCAGGCTGCGGGGACTGGAAACACAAGGGGTAACTGTGCCGGAGGACACGGTCACCCGTCGACTCCACCATCTCACCTTGCTGCAGCTCCGTGAAGTTGATGGAGCCTGAGCGGTCTCTATCGTACTGCTGGAAGAGGTTCTTCCACTGCTGGATGAAGCGCCACAAGGCTGAGAACCCATAGACGTCGATCCGCCCCGACTTCGTTTTATCAAACATGTCTGCCGAGGAAGAAACAGCAGGAGCAGGGCCGTGAGGGGCGAGCCAAGACCAGGGCCATGCGCTTCTACGGCACCTCCCCTCGGGAGCTGCCAAAGGGCTTGACAAACATGGGGTGTCCGGGGGAGTTGTCACTCCGCTGCCCTGACAGGCAGACCGTCCTTAGAAAGACAAGCTAGACCCCAGGACTTCCCGAAGCTGTGGTGCAGCACGGAGCTCGACTAAGAGCTAAACAATCAGCCAGCGATGGGCACCGCAAAAACCTGCCAGGGAAGCTTCAGCATCCAAGCCAGCGGAAGCTGTTGCACTCGGAGCCTCGGCGCCAGCATCTCCCCCCTCCTCTGCTCTTCCAGGCACTGCCAACTGAGGCAGGAAGGTTTGCCCCGGCCCTCACAGCTGCCCTCCCTAATCGGAAACAATAAGCCGGCCCGCCTGCCAGCCATGGCCCTTTGGAGAAGGAAACGCTTTGGGGAAAACACACGGCTGCTGCACGCTTGACCTTGGATTCACCCCATGAGATCCAGATTCAACCGATTAGATCACCCGCACAAAGAGCTGGCTTGTTCCCAGCATGACAAACCCACCCCCGCAGAGCTCTGCGCATTGCGCGACGGCTGTTCTAACACAGACTGCAGCTCGTGAGCGTGGACTCACTTATCATCAGCAGGCAGGTCTCGTCATTAAACGCAGACCAGTTGGAGTTGACCAGGGCCTGCTTGAGTTCTTTGATGGAGATGTAGCCGCTGCGATCAGCGTCCACTGTCTGGAACCAAGAAAAGGCCTCCGGGTCCACACCGGGTGGCATGTTACCTGTCAGGAGGAACAGGAAAAACAGGATCAAGGCGCACTCAACTCAGCAGAGGAATGACCCGGCTAGTCACTAAGCAAAGCGCCTTTGTCAGGACCTTCTGCACCACTAACAGCTGGGAGTCAGTGCAGGAGGCCTGCAAAAGGCCAGACCAGTGGCAAGGGACTGGTGAAAGCGGATTGGCCCAAAGGAGAAGCTGAGTCAGCTTTTCCAGGCTACATGCATTATGGCCATGTGCTCTAGCCTGGGAAAAGAGGTTCCTAGTGGCCGGAATCTGGCAGGCAAGTAAACACCAGAGAGACGTGAATGGGACTCGTCAGATGGTTTGGAAGTGGAGTGCAAACACATGGAAGCGGTGTTGTTTTAGCAGGATAAACGTGGCCAGTTCCGGAGAGACAGACGCACGACTATAAAGCTTTATTTCTACCCTTTGGGGCTGCAGTCTCTTAAGCATTTTCCTCCACACTGGAGCCTTAAATAACGAACAGGGCCTGTGTAACTGAAATGAACGGTTCAGTTACACGCCGCAGCTCTCATTCTGCTGGGCACGGCGTACTGTCCAAGGGGCCCCCAGGCCTCCGCATGACAGCTAGCACACGTCTAGGCCTGCCCAGCTGAAAAGGTCCTTACAAACAAAGAGCAAGCCCTGGATGCTAGGTCATCACCCTCATCTTACAGGTGGGGAAACTGAGGCACACAGCGGCAAAAGGCTGTGCTGTTTGGACACACAGCGTCAGGCGTCTCTGGACCCCAGCCCTGTGCTCAGACCGTGCCGCTCAGCTAAAGGGAAGTGCCAGGCCAGTGGAGGGGTCAACATTAAAGACGGTCTCCAGTGTTTGCTCACAAATCTAGCCCTTGGGAATCACGTCCGCAGACTCAGACAATCAAAGGGCTGCATGGCCAACAGGGAAAGGGCTGCAGGTTGAACCTCTCTGGTCTGGCAACCCCCGTGGTCTGGCAGGGTGGAGTCCCGGCAGCTGGGAGCCCTGCAGGCCGGGAAGCCCGGGGGGAGGGGGGCTAGCAGCAAGGAGGAGAGCCAGCCTGGATGATGGGCCAGGGCTGGGTGGTGGCAGGGGGCAGAAATGACCTCCCCTGGTCCGGCAAAATTCCTCATGTGGGACCAGCCAGGTCCCGAGAGAGCCAGAGCAGGGAGGTCCAACCTGTAGTCATCTCTGAAAGCTCTCGAGAGCCCCAAAGGACGGAGCTTGTGTTCCGGCTGCACCGAAGACAGGGCTCTTCCCCCTGCATCACACCCTCCCCCCCGGTCTTCCCCCATCGCTGGGGGCAGCCAACTAGCAGGCGTGGCCAGGAGCAAGTCCGTGTGAAGGACGGCGCGGCTCAGCCAGCACCGCGAGGCGGGGTCGTTCCATCACCCGCTTTTCTACTCACCGGCAGGCGCCCCTGCTCCGTAGGGCCCTGGCTGAGGGGCACCATAGGGATTGGTGGAGGGCTGCCCATAAGGCCCTCCTGGAGCCGGGCCTCCTGCATAGGGTCCTCCGGGAGCTCCAGAGGGTGCTCCCCCCGGCGTGGGATGCCCATAAGCGCCTCCGCCAGATGGGGGTGCGTAGGGGCCTCCAGGCGCTGGGCCGCCATAGGAGCCACCAGGAGGCCCCCCGCCTCCATACTGGGCTCCGGAATAGTACCCGCCCTGCGGGGCACCTGGAGCTGGCCCTGCTGATCCGGGGTAACCCTGTGGGAGGAGAAGGGGAAAATAAAGCAGCAGCTGTTTGTGCGTCCCCGTGTACGGGACCAACACGCCAGCGACCCCGGCACAACTGCCCCAACACCCAGCCACCCTCCACACGGCTCGCAGCAGCCTGGCCTCTTAGCTGCCCAGCGTGCCAGCAATTCCGGATCAGAACCTCCTGGCTGGCAGGTGTGTGCACTTGCCTCTGTCCGCACCTGTGCCTGCCTCATCTACTCACCCCACAGGTATCAGCTCCGTCCTCTCCCCCCCCCCCCCCGGTTAGCGAGGCCGTGCGTTTGAGGGAGAGGGGGGCGCACACGTGGCGCCACATGAGCCGATACACACAGGGAGTCGACTTGAGAGCTGGCTTCCCACGAGTACCAGCTCCCACCTGCCCCCCTCACCCTCTGCACTGCTGCCCCTCTATCAGCCGGCTCCTCCCAGCTCCCCATGCTGCTGCCTCTGCGGGAAGCAGGAGGGGCCAGGTGGCTCCGCAGGATCCAAAGGCAGCAAGGAGGGGGTGTGCGTAATTCAGGGCTACTCAACTTTGGAAGCCCCGGGGGCCCACAATGACACTCACAGCACATGCCGAGGGCCGCAACGTAAGTGCAGTTGCATATATATATGCAAATAGCCTCTTTCACACTGACGGGCATGAATACAAAGATTCAGCCTTAAGCCACCTGCTGGACCCAATGTGGCCAGTGGGAACCAATCAGCAGCTCTCAGGCACTACCCACAAGGCTACGCAGCCAGCACCTCCCACCATGCCCCAGCGCCCCCAGCACCTCCTCCCTGGGGGCTAGAGATGCCAACACCCTGTACCCATCTGTGCCAGCCAGCCCGTCCACTTGCGTCTTTCAATGCTAACCCCTCCAGGGAGACGCCTCGCCGCTGTGGAGCGTGTTCCCAGGGGAGGCCATGTTCAAAGGATCCCACCCGTGGGCCACATGTTGAACCCTGCTGTCATGTTCTTGGATTTTAAGGGGAGCAGCCAGATCATTGCTGCACCCACGGGGGAGGGGGTGTTCACCCCAACGTCTGTACAAAGGGGGCCGTGTGAGGTGTCAAATAAAAGATTGTGTCCTACTGATTCTATGTATGTTGCTCGTGTACTTGTGAGACGTCTGTATGTGGAGTTATGAATATGGGGCAGACTCCAGCTTGTCTTCAATTCTGCTCCTGATCCCAGATGCAGCCTTGTGAGGGACGGAGAGCCAGGAAGGATTGCCGACCTGTCCTGACATAGGATGTATGCCAGAGACATCCTTGCTACGCAAGATAGCAGTGTGTAACATCTCTGCTGAGAGCCTGCATCAAGAACTTGGTGATTGGTGCATGTAATGTATTCTCCTTAACCCTACTCTCAAACTTTTCTTTCTTTTATTAATAAACCTTTCGATTTTAGATTCTAAAGAATTGGCCCAGTGTGATTTTGTGGGTAAGATCAAAAGTGTAAACTGACCAGGGATCTGTGGCTGGTTTCTTGGGACCGGGAGAACCCATTCGGGGTAGGTGCGATTGGGTTCCATAACCCCTCACCAGTGTGTAGGCCCAGGGCTGATTGTGGCACAGGGAGAGCTGGGGTGTCTGAGGGGTTTTGCTCGTGAGGCTTCCTGCTGGCTGGATGGCAGCTGAAGCACTCAGTGTGACTGGTTTGTGACCTGTTAGGGAAAGGTCTCCAGTCTGGGGCTGTGAGCAGCCCTGGTTTTGAACAATTCACCCTGAGCAGATGCCCTCAGCGGTGCCCAGACCCGGCCCGTCACACCTGCGTAAAAGCAAACAGCACCACAGGCCACAAACAAATGTGCCATGTGTTGAGTAGCCCTGGTGTAGTTGTTAACATTAACAGATAAACCCAAGCTTCTCAGATAATCATTTAAACAACTATATGCTAGCATCCCTTAGTTACTACCAGTGGATACACACATGCCTCAACGCACAAAACTAAATTTGTTCTGCACATGGATGGAAAAAATTAGAGGGAACACACACTGACCCACCAGTGAGTTCACTGTTTAGGCTGTAAACAGCTGACATCAGGAAAGGCAACTCAACTGAGATTACAGGAAAACATCATTCATTTGAGCACGGCACAGTTTCAGGTCTTCTGACAACCGTGGCCAGTGACCACCTAAAAGGAGCCTGATTTCAGAGGGCAGGTGATCAAGTACTTTCTAAAAGTCAGGGCCTGTCTCAACCTGCACCCCAAAAAGTGGAGGCAGCCAAAATCACAAGGCACTTTCAAAAAATCCTGCCCTTTTATACTCTGCTTCCTCTTATCACAGCGGGCACCCGGGTGCTACTGTGCACGCCAAAGGCGGGTGCATTTTCGTGGCACTTCTGGAGAGCGTAAAGCCCTTGGGATTTTGGGGGCAAACAGCAATTAAGAACTTCAATGGAAGCCACGGCTGCTGCCCCCTGTTACAACATTTACACAGGGAGGGATGTTAAATGGGGAAACCAACCATCTTCGAGGACTGTGAAAGAACACTGTAGTGCTGCCTTGTGACTAGGGAGGTTACATTTAGATTAACTGGCTAATCAAATAGTTGATGCCATTTGCATCGACTATTCGATTAGTCGATAAGTCTCTGCCTTTGAAGTGTAGCAGCAGCCCCCAGGACTGTTGCTACATTTTGAAGGCGAAAGCGCTGCGGGGAGCACGGGGCCATGCTGAGAGGTGATTGTCCAGAGCTGGTTTGGGGCCAGGACAGACCCAGTTTAGGGGGGAGAGGAAGGCAGAGTGGCTGGCATCTGAACCATCTCAGTCACCTCACTGCCTCTGGTGATGGCACAAGCCTGGAGCCGCCCTGACACCTGGGTGTCACCCCACCCTGAGCTGCCATTTGTGTGGCACCCCATCACTGGAGCACCACTGTACCCCATGCTGTGCC